TTATAAAGCCCATATAAATCTTTTTAGAACTTCTTTGTCATTACTGCCACCAAGGGTGCTCAAATATACATGTAGGATCTGTAAAAAAAAGAAAATAAATAAAAAGCAACTTTATACTCCCCAAAAAAAACGTAATTGGGTTAAACGGCCTACTGTTCAGCTCCAACTGGGCTGACAGCCAACCTACTGTGGATCTGTAATGAAATGGGGTTCAACATCATACTGTGCTGCTCAAACAGGGCTAAAGAAGTTGGACAAATGCTTGAAAGTGTGCTGTGATGGAAATTTTGACTGGCCGTGTGTACAAAAGAGCTTGGTTTTTTGTCCTATCCGAACAACTGTACATTAGCCCTTACCAGCCCCTCTGTCTTGTACCAGTTAAAAGAGGAACCATGCCAGAAAATCCTGATGAACTTTCTTGGCCACCACAAGAAAAAATAAGCTGGGGAGTAGGACTGAAACCTTTATGTACAAGTATGTACGGGCAAACTTGTTATTTAATGTTATATCATTTAAATAGGCCTATGTATATAAGCTTAAAGTCTTGATTATCCATTTTTCAATTAAATTAAATCATTAACAGTAACCGCCAGTGTTTGAATATGTGAACATCTCGAGCACCCGATGGCATTGAGACTTGATTATAGACTTAGCAAGTTAATACATTAAAATGTCTTATAAAAAAATTTAACATTTACAGTCTCAAGAAATACCTACTTAACCTACGTACAATATATAGATTTAGCTCTTGCATTATGCATTATTAAATTTGCAAAAATATCAGTACAATAACAAAAAAACCCAACCTGAAACACCCATAAAAATGATTAGAAAATACTACATGTACTTATATTATAATTAGCACAGCCTGAATTTTAACAGTCTACATCATTAATAAATTCGTTATGTGTTTGATAATTTTTTAATCCAGATTTTTTAAAAACAATATTGGAACCAGTATTACTTTCGATAACTTAAAGCAATGTTGATTTTGTTTATGAATAGTATGGTTTACGGACAATGTAACTGCATCGTGTTAAAAACAAATACTGACTGTCTGATATACAAAGTTGCGTGCAAACTTTTTCCACGGCCAGATTATTTTTTTTATCAACATTAGATCTATCGGTATACTGTCAACGGAAGTTCGCATAAAAAGTGCACTTACCTTCAACTTTACTTTGCTGAATCCAAAATCGTCTGTGTATGTGTGGAATAGCTTTATTTAACTTTAAATCACGGCATCATTTCTTCTTTGGGACAAATAACCTATGCCGCCATTTTAAATCCCAGAATTCCGTACGTTCCGGTCAAACGAACAAACAAAAAATATTTAATAAAAATTAAAAGCAATTTAGATAAATAACAACAATAACCGTAACCTATAAAAAAATATTGTAATGTGAATAGAAATAATATGATATAAACCGATTTAAACACAATCATCAACCGTGAACAGATCGTGACCTTGACCTTGCCCGAGACGATAAAAATATATTTGTACATCTATCTCTAAAAATGGCGACTGTTCGTTTGAAAGGCCTGTAATATTTCTGATAATGAATCTATTCATATAATTTGTTTGTATACGCTCTACTATATTTTATATGAGGTTACATAATTACGTCATATTAAAAGAATAATCAAATCGGGGAATTTTAATTTTCAGAGATAGGTCTTTTATCGAGAGACGATAAATATATGGTCGTCCGCTTGCCAGCCTATCTTTTATAGTCCCATTGGTGCAGAAAAGTAGGAAAATTAAATAAAATTAAATGAGATTAAACATCCTACTGTTTTGCTCTGAGTGAGCTAATGAAGACAGGCATACACTATATACAGTGTACTATGACGGAAACTTTGCACGGATAGCGGCACTATGGCCTACTCTGATATTGAATTACAACTGTCGGAGTGTCTTTTACGTGCATGCCAATATGTACATGAGGACTTGATTTTTTGTATGACCCAAACACCTATACCTTATCCCTTGCCAGATCCTCCGCCCTGCCACAGTCCATAGAAAATTTTCGTCATAGCACTCTGCATTGCGTTATGACTATCTTCAATAGTCCGATTGGTGCAGAAAAGTATGAAAATGAATTTTAAATGGGGTTTGAAAATCCTACTATTTTGTTCCAAGTGGGCTAATGAAGAAGGGCATATGCTATAATGGTTAAAATGTTGTTATTTCGGGTTAAAATGCCGTGATGTTGGGTTATCGGTTTACGAAGGGTGATATCAGTCACCATATCTACTGGGTTTCTTTAATACTCATATTTATAGTATTTTATAGAGTCAGACTAGTGGACTAGTGAATGCACGGATTAGTGCACCCACGGACTAGTGAACCCACAGACTAGTAATTGGTAATGATGGAAAAGTGTGTAAAGACCTGTTTTACAGGTTGGCGTGCACTTAGAACTATTGGTAATGACTATATGCGGAAATGCTGCTCTCCAGGCAAAATGTCTTTCCTAGCACATCGTCATTAGTAAGTGCGGTAATGCTGCTGTCCAGGCAAAATTTCTGTCATAGCACATCTTCATTACTAATTTTGATAAAGCCAAGGTGGCTAAGTGCGTAAGATGCTGGCTCGGTAATCCGGAGGGCACGTGTTCGATGCCTGCATTGGTGGAGAAAGTTCATCAGGATTTTCCGACATGGTTTCCCCTTGTCAGAGGTGCAGGAACAAGGACAGTAGTCTAGTCACTCAGATGGGACAAAAAACCGAGGTACCATGTATACATTGTCTTGCACGAAAAGATCCCTGGGCAGTTGGATTCGATATTAGTAGGCCATAGTGCCGCTGCTGGGGCAAAATTTCCCTCATAGCACATTGTATGGTATGTACCTGTCTTCATCAGGACAAACCTACATGAGGAAAAACCTACATTTCACAAACTTAGTAATTAGTAACGGGGGGGTTGGATGGCTGAATGGTTAGTGTGCGGGCGCTGTATCATAAAGTCTGTCATTGAGTTGACTGGCGTGGTTTCGGATCCCCGGTTGTACGTGACAAGGAGTAGGGTCGCCTGTCCAACCTCCGGTTTTCTCCCACTGCTAAAGACCCCTACGCGCAAGCAAATTATGTAAATAAAAATTAAACCATATGTTAGTCCCGAAATGACCTAGTTTGTGTCGAGTAGACGTTAAACCCCATTTCTCTCTCTCTCTCTCTAGTAATTAGTAACACACTGGCTAGCAAATGAGGGGTTCAATTTCCGTGTTGGTCGAGAAAAATGAAATGAAATCGGGTTTAACGTCCTACTGTTCTGCTCCTAAACTGAGCTAATGAAGACGAGCATACGCCATACAGTATGCTATGAAGGAAATTTTGCCCAGGCAGCGGCGCTATGGCCTACTCTTATATCAAGTTCCAACTACCAAGGGATCTTTCATGTGCACTCCTGTGTGTACACGTGACCTCAGTTTTTCATCCCTGACTAGACAGCTGTTCTTGTCAGGCCCACCGTCCTGTATCACTGACAAGGGGAAAACACGCAGGAAAATCTGGATGAACTTTCTCAGCCAATGCAGGGATCGAACACCCGACCTCCAGGCTAGCGAGTCAGCGTCTTACCCACTTAGCCAACGTGATCCCCATGTTGGTCGAGAAAGTTCCCTTTGTTAGTAGTGGTGTAGGACAGAGGACCTCAAAAAAACAGTGTCTAGTCCATCACGTGGGTGTGCACGTAAAAGAACCCTTGACATTTGGAATTTGAAATGAGAGTAGATCATTCATTCATTCAGTTTCTCTTTGTGTGTCACCTACAGACCGCAACTACTAAAGGAGCTAGATCTCTATTCTTGGGCACTTAGAAATGGATACAAAATGTAATGAAATGAAATGGGGTTTAACGTCAAACTGTTCTGCTCCGAACTGGGCTAATGAAGATGGTCATACACCATACAGTGTGTTATGAGGGAAATTTTGCCCTGACAGTGGCACTACGGCCTACTCTTATATCGAATTCCAACTGTCAAGGGATCTTTTACATGCATGCCAATGTGTACACGGGACCTCGGTTTTTTTATCCCATCTGAACAACTAGACTCCGTCCTGCATCACTGACAAGGGGAAACCACGCCGGAAATCTGGATGAACTTTCTCGGCCAATGCAGGGATCGAACACCCGACCTCCAGGCTAGCGAGCCAGGGTCTTACCCATTTTAATGACTAGACAGCTGTCTTGTCAGGCCCTTAATTGTTAGTATCATGACATTAAACTGACATTTGTTTTACGTTTTCAAACTAATATCAGGTTTATGTTAGAAAACTAACGTTAGATTTATGTTAGAAAACTAAAGTTAGATTTATGTTATAAAATTAACATTAGATTTACGTTAGAAAACTAACGTTAAATTAACGGTTAAAATTATGACATAAAACTAACACTAACGTTAGATTTACGTCAGAAAACTAACGTTAGATTTACGTCAGAAAACTAACGTTAGATTTACGTCAGAAAACTAACGTTAGATTTACGTCAGAAAACTAACCATAAACTAACGGTTAGAAACCTGATGTAAAATTTACGTTAGATTAACGTTAGAATTATAACCAATAATACATATATAATTATTATGTCTGAATTCCGACTATATATCAATTGTTAGAATGTGCACACACTTGTAATGTTATTTAATCAAGAAGTATTCAAAGGGAAAAAAATTGGTTAGTAATCCGTCATAAAGTTTACGTTACATTTACGTCATTTTCTGACGTAAAAGTAACCATAACCATTATGACGTAAAAGTAACGTAAATTTAACCAAAGAATTTTACCATTATTGGACGCTAACCAAAATCTAACCATAATGACGTAAACTTTACGTAAATCTAACCATCAATGTTAACTGGGACACTGCTTCGTGTACTCACTCGTCAGTATTTGTATTCTACGAGAGGTAAGACAGTCATTATCAAGATTACAATGGTTAGTTATTGACGCCATAAACTGACGTGTTATTTTATAAACATGACGTAGTTGTACTTACTGGGGTGGCCATTCTTCTTATCCTTATTATTCTATGACAACTTTCTTCTACTAGAGTTCCCTTAGAACCTTACTAAAGACAAACAGAACAGTCTAACACTAGATCAAGGGGGTTCTATAAAAATTACCCATTGGAAAAACACAGTCTATGTATAGTGTATTAATCACGTGTTATAGTCTTGTATAACTTGTCTCACTACTATTTACGTTAAGCTAGATCAAGTCCGATATTAATTATAATATTTTCCTACCCATGAATATCTATTCTCGATAAAGAATATAGTCCCGACTTGTTAAAACGAATATAATAAATTCCCGGTGTTTAAGATAACCTAAATATATCAATATAATAAATAGTGTTGTAACTATCTGAATGAATACTCCACAATTGTCTGGATAACGTAGTCTATTTTATACTATAGTAACAGGAAAACCAGTCTATTTATACGTATTGCGTAAGCTTGTAATATGGGCGTCGCCTTTCAATAAATTAATTGAAATGAAAAGTGATTTGATGGCACCTCAGCTCCAACCGGGCTATATTGCACCAAACATATGGTGAATATTACTAGACAGGCTAAATTATATCGCAGAAAAACATTATAATATGCATAAATACGTATATTGACTGGCATGTTCACGAGTAACTATGGAATACTTTAACGGTATATTACCGGGCAACGTTTCGACTAGAATTCTTTATCAATATATAGTGTGCTATGATGGAATTTTTGCCCAAACAGAGGCGCTTTGGCGTCCATTCTTATATCGAATTCCAACTGCCAAGGTTTCTATAAAGTTCACGTCAATGCGTACACCGGGATTCTGATTTTCGTCCAATCCTAAAGACTAGACACTGTCCTTGCCATGGGGGATTACGCCGGAAAATCCAGAGGGCAACCTTCAAGGCCAGCATCGGGAGCGAATCCCGGAGCCCTGGTTAGCGAAATGATATGAAATGAAATGGGGTTTCACATCCTACTGTTCTGCTTCTAAATGGGCTGGGGGGTTGGATGGCCGAATGGTTAGCACGCGCGCGCTGTATCATACCGTCTGTCATTGAGTCAACTGGCGGGGTTTCGATTCCCCAGTTGAACGTGACAAGGAGTAGGGTCGCCTGTCCAATCTCGTGGGGTTTTTCCGGGTCCTCCGGTTTCCTCCCACTGCTAAAGACCCCTACGCGCAGAGCGAATTATTGAAATAAAAAGATTAAAACATATGTTAGTCCCGAAATGACCTAGTTTGTGTCGAGTGGACGTTAAACCCCATTTCTCTCTCTACCTCTCTAACTGGGCTAATAAAGACAGATATACGCCAGTGTGCTATGAGGGAAATTATGCCCGGACAGCGGCGCTACGGCCTACTCTTATATCGAATTCCAACTGCCAAGGGATCTTTTACGTGCAAGCATGTGTACACGGGACCGACCTCGGTATTTCGTTCTATCCGAATGACTATACATCGGTTGATAGTTATTAATGATAATTAGTCTTGATAATAAATATATGTTAATTGTAGTAATATTCTTTATTATATATACATCGGCACTAAAAAAATATCAATTTTAAAGTTTACAGTTTATAGCACCTAAATAGTGCTTTATATATTTTTTATTATATTTTCATATAATTTAGTACGTTTATAATTCAGTACGTTTGTCGTGTATTTATACGGTTGGTTAATCTGAAAATAGATAATGGGATCTTATTCAAATTACATTAATCTTAGCCATTCATCAAGTTTAGATTTAATTATTAAATGGCGATCGTGTTTCAAGCCATTCAATTCTCGACAACCCGATGGTCTATCTGGTTTAATATTGGCCTGGCATGTGAATAATTTATATAACATTTGAAGCCAAATAAAAACCTTGCTATAAACCGATTTAGTTCTTACACAGTGTATCTTAAATAACACATTTTATGCTTAATATCTATACCTTGTTCTTGATTTATGACAGATTTAACAAAAAGACATTATAGTTATCTATAAAGTTTTATAGAAGCTAGAGGTTTGGTGTACTAGGGGCCGGGTAATATGCATAATTTATAATCTCATTTATTTTATATGGTTTCATTTGATTTGAGTAAAGGAACAAAAACAAAAAGGTTTATAAAGTTTTATTTATAAATCCAAATTTAAAGTTTATGAAATCAAATGAAATTGGGTTTAACGTCCTACTGTTCTGCTCCTAAACTGGGCTAATGAAGACGGGCATACGCCATACAGTGTGCTATGAGGGAAATTTTGCCCGGGCGGCGGCGCTACGGCCTACTCTTATACCGAATTCCAACTGTCAAGGGATCTTTTACGTGCACGCCAATGTGTACACGGGATCTCGGTTTTTCGTCCCATCCGAACGACTAGACAGCTGTCCTTGTCAGGCCCTAAATCCTGCATCGCTGACAAGGGGAAACCACGCCGGAAAATCGAGATTAACTTTCTCGGCATATGCAGGGATCGAACACCCGACCTCCAGGTAAACGAGCCAGCGTCTTACCCACTTAGCCACGTGATCCCTTATGATTTGTATCTGTACTGAAATATCATTAGTTGATAATGAATGTTTTATAAACTTCATTCGATATTACTTGTTCTTAACTACAATATACAACAAACGGTTGCCATGCAAGATACGCCCACATTCCCTTTTACTTGTTCTTAGCTACAATATACAACAAACGGTTGCCATGCAACAAACACCCAAATTCCATATTACTTGTGTGTAATAACAGAAACTGCACGCACGACGAAGATTCTTTTAATTTCGTTTTGAATAAAAAAAATGGTTTGTATATTAATTTTGTGTCAGTATTAAACTTTAAAGGAACTTTCCCAATTTGAACAGAGTCTCAAAAATAAAAGTCCAAGTACGTATGAAATTTAAGCGCCAAAATATAGAGGGATGGTGTATTTACCTTGTCTCAAAATTTCAGCTCAAAATATTGAGTCGTGTCGACGTGAACATCAAAAATGCTTATCCGGACACGTAACCCTTTCAAGATTTCGAGTCAATTTTTTCGTTGGGTGACCTGATAATCGATTTCCGTTCCTTGAGAGGTCTATACAGTGAACGACCCATGTGCTGTACTTGATAATGAATGGTAAATTTCACCTACACATTATTTTTTATAAAATAAAAGTCTGGTTTTATCCAGACACTGCATAATACACCAGTTTCCATTTCCAGATGAAGACTGACAGGTTTAAGTTGTTTGAAAACATATCACAAATATTGAGTTAGTTGCTTGTCCCTTGGGTAGAGGATTTATGGGATTTTAACACAAAATCAAGCAGTTTTATTTTTCCAAAAAATATCGGGATTAGTCCTTTAACGTATCGTATTCTAGTGTTAATACTATAAAAAAGGATATTATGGAAGATTAGATAAAGAGATGTCATTTCTCCAATGGCAGACCTTATGATCCAATGCGTACGCGTTAACCATTCGCCCCCCCCCCCTTCAACATCTTTTAGCACTGAGTCACCGTGGCTCCCGGTTTAATTAGTGCCGGACAAATGAATCCTCCAAGAAATCTGACATTAATAAAAAAATAACATGTTAGTTATGAACATCAAGTCTATGTTAACTTATTCAAGGTATATCTATGATGATCACGTCTATGTTAATATGATACATGGAGCACGTGGCTAAGTGGGTAAGACGCTGGCTCGCTGACCTGGAAGTCGCGTGTTCCATCCCTGCATTGGCCGAGAAAGTTCATCCAGATTTTCCGGCGTGGTTTCCCCTTGTCAGTGATGCAGGATGGGGGGCCTGACAAAGACAGCTGTCTAGTCGTTCGGATTGGACGAAAACCCGAGGTCCCGTGTACACATTGGCGTGCACGTAAAAGATCCCTTGGCAGATAGAATTCGATATAAGAGTAGGCCGTATCGCCGCTGCCCGGGCAAAAAATTTCCCTCATAGCACACTGTATGGCGTATGCCCGTCTTCATTAGCCCAGGTTAGGAGCAGAAAAGTAGAACGTTTCATTTCATGACGACTAAGTCCATGTTAATATGATCCATGGTATAGCCGAGACGATGAAGTCTATGTTAATATACTGAGCGCCATGGAAAACGCATCACTTAGTTTTTCGTATAACAAAATGATCCTGTAAACATATCTTATTTATTTTGCTTCTTATTGTGAACAATATTCAAATGGGAACACATCAATAACAACACATTTGTACACTTATGGATGTTTAATTTGTAATCAACAGTACAAAGAGGGGTCAAAACCAAAAGTACGACACAGACGTCAGTAGCGCGTGTGTCCTCCACGTTCTCTTACGCACGCTGTGCAGCGACGTCGCATGGAATTTACCAATGTTTGAAAGAAGGCCTGGGGCAAATTGTTCCATTCTTGGACAAGAGCAGCTTCTAAAGCAGCAATGGTGTGCATATGTGGTCTCCGATACAGACGGCGTCAAATCCCATCCCAGACATGTTCTATCGGTGCCATGTTCGGAGACATGGCTGGCCAGTCCAAGACATTAATGTTGTTAGCAGCCAGGTAGTCCATACTAAAACGGGCGGTATGCGGACGTGCATTATCCTGTTGGAAGTGCTGAAGTTGTGGGTGCGCTCGAAACATCGGAACAACAATTGGTTGCAAGACATCATCACGGTAGGCTACAGCATTAACGCTACTCCTGCAAATGTGTTGAGCGGTCCGGTGATGAAATGTGAAGCCTCCCCACACCATTACACTTCCCCCACCCCATCTATTCGTTTCGAAGACGCAGCAGTCTGCAAGACGTTCCCCAAGACGTCTCCACACACGTTGACGGCCATCAGCGTGATAAAGATGAAAGCGACTCTCATCACTCTCATCATTGAAGAGTACACTTTGCCAGTCTACTCTTCTCCATGTCTGGTGTCCTCGAGCCCATATCAAACGCCACTGACGGTGATGATCCCTGAGGATAGCTCCAACGTAAGGTCGTCGTGCACGGAGCCCTACTTCTCTTAGACGACGTCTTACAGTGTTGGCACATACTGGTCCTTGTCTTCCGACGACTGCTGCACCTGTTCGAGTCGCTGGGCGGAATCTGTCTCGCAGATGTGTGACCCGGATGTAGCGGTCTAGAGCCCGGGTTGTAACGCGTTGTGGACCAGGACGTTGACGGTCACGTGTTG